CAAAATGTCTGCAATGTCTACACGTGGGATCTTTGTCTTTACATGTATTTATATAAGTAAAAAGATGACGTCAAAAATTATTATATAAACGAAATACAAAAACAACATATGTTTCTGCTAAATTCCGCTGGAGAGCGGCCCGCGCAAATGTAAGGCATTAAGCTGCGGCGCGTTGTGGTGACGAGATGCTAAGTGAACCTCGAGGTACGCCAGGGCACTAAGACCATGTCGCCGTTTCAGACAACGGCGGCGAGCTGCTGACTACCTCGCCTGGTATACGGGAGATCGTGGGTTCGATACCAACCCTGGCGCGTGTGTATGTGGAGTTTGCGTGTCTCTCTCTTCCCGTGGTCGCGTGGATTTTTACTTGTTGTCCGGGTCTTCCGATTTTTTTCCCACTCCACTTTTACAGACACGCGTTTTAGAGTATTTGGCTACTTCTATAAATGTCCACTGTGATAAGCCACTTCGTTGAGCTATCGTTTGTGGCCAGGTCGCTTCTGAAGAGAGCTCTATAGATAGCTCGGTGGGCCTTTCCTGCTAAAATAAATAGCATAAATTTCGATTTAAAGCTTTCGTGACTGCAGGGATTCATCTTCTTGGTTCTTTCGGTAAAGTCACGTAGAAGGGAAGTAATAAAATAATAAAATAAAACATAATAAAATAATTTTCACGACGTTTCGGCTACAACGCAAGCAGCCGTCCTCAGGTGAAGACCATGTCTGTCGGGGAGACAGCGTCTGAATGAAACACCACCACGCTTGGAGCGTATATTTAAGCCTGGTCCAACCCAGCTTAAATATACGCTCCAAGCATAGTGGTGTTTCATTCAGACGCTGTCTCCCCGACAGACCTGGTTTTCACCTGAGGACGGCTGCTTGCGTTGTGGCCGAAACGTCGTGAGAATTATTTATATTATGTTTTATTTTTATTATTTTATTACTTCCCTTCTACGTGACTTTACCGAAAGAACCAAGAAGATAAATATCATAGTTTCATTAAACACCTTGACACGACGCACAACTGAGACTGCCACCTCGAGTGTGGGGTAGGAATGGAGGAGTGGTTGGCTCACCTGACGCGCATGCCGCCTCTCTAAGGAGCGTGCTTCGTGACGGTTATTTATTCAGGACTCATCGGTCTCGTATTTGTCACGTGCATTGGGCGAACAAAAATGCATCTTCTCGTTACTTTTGGTTGCCGACCCTCGGGAGTAGACGAACGCGGTTCAAATTGGTGTCATGCCTGTGCTGCTCAACGTGTCCCGTGTCGTTTTAAAATATCTCGTGTCGTTTTACATGTTTTCGTGTCGTTCTAAAATGTTTCTTGTCGTTTTAAAATGTCTCGTGCCGTTTTAAAATGTCTCGTGTTGTTTTAAAGTATCTCGTGTCGTTTTACATTTTTTCGTGTCGTTCTAAAATGTTTCGTGTCGTTTTAAAATGTCTTGTGTCGTTTTGAAATGTTTGGTGTCGTTTTAAAATGTCTCCTGTCGCTTAAAAATGTCTCGTGTCGTTTTAAAACGTCTCGTGTCGCTATAAAATGTTTCGTGTCGTTTTAAAATGTTTCATTTCGTTTTAAAATGTCTCGTGTCGTTTTTAAATGTCTCGTGTCGCTATGAAATGTTTCGTGTCGTTTTAAAATGTCTGGTGTCGTTTTTAAATGTTTCGTGTCGCTATAAAATGTCTCGTGTCGTTTAAAAATGTTTCCTCGCGATTACGCTATCGGCACCGCGTTGTCAGGTGACGGAAATATCTGCTCGGAAACTCTCGCGGAGCAAGCGCGGAGAACTTCGTGTGAGCTAGCGACACGCGGAAGTGGATGTCACAGAGCCACCTCTGAGAATCCTTCAAGTCATCTCTAAATCCACGCAGTGCAAGAGCAGAACCTTCCATCTCGGAGATGGAAGGTTAGCCAAACTGCGCAACAGAACCACATTTAACGTGATGTTCTTTATTGTGGGGAGCGGCAGTGCAGCAATAATGCAGCGGCTAGCGCGCTGGGCATCAAACCCGGCCACCCGAGTTCGAATCCCGCTCACGGTGAACACCAGTGACGATTATCATGAACCAGTTCTGGGCCTCCCCTAGGTCGACTCAGCCTCAAATGAGTACCTGATGCAGGGTGTGTTAACATCGCCACGAGGGAGACAAAGGCGGTCGGGCGTGGTGTTGGCCAGCCACCCCACTCGTGTGCCGTTCCGGCCTTCATAGGTGCTACTCGCTAACACCACTTGCCCCAATGGTCTGTTAAGGCTACACGGGGGATCTTTGCATTTTGTGTGCGGTCATTGGCAACCAGGCTGAAACCATCAATCAGCACGCCTGCGCGCGATTCGAACCCAAGGATCTCAGCGGTGTCGGCTCAGCGTTCTGACCCTCCGAGCCATCCATGCGGTTACCTCCCAACGGACGACGATGCCAACATTTTTTGTTCGTATTTTTTTTGTTGCTAACCCAGAGCCGTAAACTTCAACCGTCACCTGGGTACTTTGCGAGCGTTGCAAGAGACGCCCCCCCACCCCCCCCGTTGTGTTGTACGCGGAGTTTCGTGGGGGGGGGGGAGTGGGGGGCTGTGAGCTGGGTGGAACTCTGTTGTGCTTGGCCGGGCTATATCTGCGCTAAGTCGGGCCGTGTTCTAGGAGGGGAGCATGATGTCATTGCTTGTTTAAGAAAGCACAACTTCGAACTCGATATTTTCACAGCGGCGGGCCCCTGTTAAGGCTCATTTAGGTAATTCGAGCCGGGAGGAGAGATTCCCCCTACCCCCGGAGCATGGAATATGTTAGAGGTGGCGAGATGTTAACTATCTCGCCTGGTATACAGGAGGTCGTGGGTCCGATCGCGACACTGACGCCTGCAGTATGTTTGGAGTCTGCGCGTCTGCCTCTCCCCGTAGTCGCGTGGATTTTTCTCCGGGTACCTAGGTGTCATACATTTCCACGTGATAAGCCACTTCGTTGGGCTATCATTTGTGATAGCCAGATCGCTTCTAAACAAATAGCTACATTTAACACGTGGGCTTTCGCGACGAATATTATTCATAATCAACTTTTTGGGTTTAATTGTAAATGTTAGTGGTTTCACGCTTCAACACACCGGTGGGCTAAAGCAGTGAACTATTTGTCTTTTGTCAACGTGACACTTTTTTACTGATTGGCCGTGTCGGGTGGTGGAGGGTTACGACACATTTATAAATAACGCGATCTAAACCCAAAAACGTTTATTATGATTATAAATAGCTACATGGCTCAGTGGGCCTTACCTGGTAAAATAAAAAAGCGTTTAGTTTCACGCTCGAGGTGGCTATGGTTGTTGCGTCCTGCCTCTATCCGACCAGAGTCCTGAACGTTCGGACTGACTTGCATGGTTCCACGTGCACATGGCCAGCAGAGAGACGGGCTAACAATCAACGAATGTGTTGAGTATTGTTTATTGTTGTTGTTATGTTCCTCGTCAAGGGAGAATAGATTGTGAACAGGAACAAAAAAAACTGTTACACGGTGTTATCACGCGAACACCAGTCATCATCGTCGCAGCAACAGCGGCTTGTGGCTGGCAATCGAACACACAAGGCGGTCACCGCATCACGCGGCGCTTTCAGGTGCGCTTCTGCGGCCGTCTGGAACGCCTCTTCCTTCCGATATTAGGAAGCCACTGGAGCTATGTACTTTTAAATTATCTAGTTTGAAAAATCGAAAAATAGATTGAAAACACTTTTTCTTCGGAACAGTTTTTTTGTGTTTAGTTTGATGTCCATTCCCTGCACCTCCCATTAGCGCGGTTGGCTACGTACGGTCCGAAAGAAGTTCAACAACATATATACGTACACGTGTGTACTTGTTCACCGCTGGCAATGCAGCAGCGTCACCACATACGCCACTGACATTCGTGAGTAATATATATATAAAACATTTCTTTTTTTAAATTTGATAGCACATTTCACCTAGATAACTAATCCCTTCAGATTGAAAATCTCGTTTGTCACGAGTGTTCAGGGCATCAAGTGACACATACTCACCTGACGTAATGACACGGATATATACGCATTTTATAATCTACAACTTACACGGAATGCAATGAACATCGCACCACAGTCAAACGCATAAAGGATGCATTAATTCATGAGTCTATTACATGATTAATGTATCAATGAGTGTACTCCGCCAGTTCATAAAGGATACTTCATCTAACATATATCGTCATCGTCATCATCATACGCCTTGCTCTATCCACTGCGGATCACGCGATGTAACAACGATCCATCTGTCTCCTCCTGCACGTGCGCCGATCTCATCGCTCCACTCCTTGAGTAGGAAGCCGTTTGCCGCGTGGCTGCAGAATGTGAGACGTTGAGCAGTCTGGCCACAATGGCATTAAAAATAAATGTCGCGTAAAGTTGACACTGAGAAACAGAGACCCACGCTTCCCTGCATCTTCCCGAAGCACTGAGTCACCTTTACGCATGCGCGTATGTTGAACTTCTTTTGCGCCGTACGTAGGCACCCGTGCTAAACCGTGGTGCTCATGAGATTGCTCTTTCCTTTAAAAATATAGATATATTTACACCCCTTTGTCCATCCACTCCTGGATGAAAACCTCCCCACGCCGTGTCGGTTTTGTTGTGGGTGGTTCGACCATACTTCACCACGCCGGTCAGTGCGTATCGGCGAAGGAGGGAAGCCCAAGAACCTGCTTCGGCTATCGCCTCGCAAAACATTCGCCGTGATCAGGAATCGAACGGGCGCTAACCACAGCGCCACCGCTCCCCACCCCCAACACACCTCCCCCCGCCCGCAACCACCCAAAACCACATACTCAAAAAATAACCAATAAACAACATCTGAACCGGTGCTGCACAAGTGGATTTCGATTGCCCAATTGGACACGACCGAGAAGAGAGAGAGGCGACGGGGCCACGCATTGGCCGCGTCCCCCCGGCTCGGCCCCTCCTCCTCCTCCTCCCCAACTCGTCGAGCTAGAGAGTTTGCTCTTTACCCAGCCCGTGCTCAAAAAGCGAACGGGGCTGCCCGCCCTTCTCCTCTGGCTCGCCCTTTGCATTTTCCGGAGCATGCTTCTTGACGATTGCCTCTGCAGCAGCAGCAGCGGCGGCGGTGGTGGTGGTGGCGGTGGCGGCAGCAGAGGCAGCGTCGCGGCTCGGAGGTTCCAAGGGGGGGGGGACATTTGAGCCCTCGGCATCCCGTCCACAGGTGGCTGGGCCGCAGCACCTGAGGCCGGCCCGTGGACATCCCGTTCCCGTGTGCTGTCACGTTCCGCGGCTGAGCTGAGTGGCCCACGGAGTTCTACCCATCGCGTGGATTTCCAGAAGGGGGAGAAAAAAGCCCCCCAATATCAACGGTACTCTTGGAATTTCTGTTGTTGTTGTTGTTGTTGTTGTTTTTATTGTCGTGATGATGCCGTTGTTCTTATCTTCTTTCTGTAGAAGAGCAAAGGGCCACGGGTGCTGTGGTGTGAATTTTGTTTGTGTGGGTTTCCGCCACGTGTTACGTGCCACGTGCCAAAACGCGAAACAAATTGTGACCCTGAATTGTTGTCACAATCGCGGGGTCGTGGGAGCGGAGATTGATTGTCTCGTGTGTACCACAGGGCGCACTCCACGTGCACACACATCCACACTCTGCTATTTGTCAATCCACTGCTGGATGAAGGCCTCCCCCACGATGAACTCCTCCCTCCCTCTCTCTCACCCCCCCACACACACACACGTGTGGTTTTGTCGGCGTGTTCTGTATAACACGTACAAAACAAAAGTGGGCTAATAACTGTAAAAAAGCCTCGCATTTCCTAACTTTCCACTTACACAATCGTTGATTGTAGCGCATTGAAAAGTACATTTTCTGGGAGGTTATTCCGCGCTTACATCGTTTCCGCACATGCTGTTATTGTTGTTCGCAACGGGAAACGTCTTTTTCACCAAGGCAACGTTGCCCTTTTGATTGTTATTGTTTCGAGTTTTTTTTTGCTGTTGTAAAATATATATTTAATTATCTTGTATTGACATTTCGGCCGACCTTTGCGTCGATGTGTACACCGTGACCTTTTTTTTTCTTCCCGGAGGGAAAAGCGAAGGGGAAGCAGTGCGCTCCCCTTTTGGCTCGAGTCTCACCGTTCGGGGGGTGCAGGGCCCTTTCCCAGTTTCTATTGTGCACAACGACAGATGTCTTGGAGCGCACGGACGGGAATCTTGACTCATTTCCTGAAACCTCAACCTTCTCCCACCACGCTCTGCAGCTCCCCCCCCCGCCCCCCCACAGCCTCCCCCCCACACCCCCCGTTCTCCAACTCTTAGCTCAGACGTCTCCCCAGGAACGTGTACCATGATGTTGCTGTCAAAGTTTAACAACGACGACTACGACGACAACAAACGCGCAAATGCAAAAGCAGAATTTGTATTTTCTTTTTTTTTACCCCGTGATTAATGTTAAAGATGTGGCGCTGCGTGCATTAGTAACGCACATTGCAGAGACGATGTCTGCGGGTTTGACTACCGTCCAGGCTGAGAGTTTGAGGGCACTCGCCCAAGGCTTTTCGCGATCGTGCCCGAAAGCCCTTGCGACGTTTTTTTTGTTTTTTGTCGGTGCTCTAGCGGGCGTGTTTGTTCGGCTTCGTGTCCGACGTTTCGCTCCAGAAAACTGAATCTCGAAGACGCTCCGGGCACGGCACGTAGAGTAGAGGGCGGGACATGGGTGCGGTGGCGAGATGTTAACTACCTCGCCTGGTATACAGGAGGTCGTTGAGTTTGATTCCGACCCTAACGCCTACTGTATATTTGGAGTTTGCATGTCTCTCTCCCCGTGCTCGCGTGAAATATTTGTTCCGGGTCCTACGGGTTTTCCTCTCCACATTAAGAATCAATATGCGTTCGGAGTATTCGCGGTTATTGACTTAAAGCTTTCGTGACTGCAGCAATCCATACTCTTCGGATTTTTCGGTAAAGTCACGTAGATAGGTTCAAATTAATACAAAAAGAAATAAACAAAAACTACGACGTTTCGACCACAACACAAGCGATCGTCACCTCCTGATGATTAAAATAAATAATTTTATAACCTATCTACGTGACTTTACCGGAAAACCCAAAGCATATTGGTTGTTCTCAATTCACACGTGATTGTGATGAGCCGCCTTTGTTGAGCTGTTATTTGTGGCCAGGTCGCTTCTGAAAAAGAACTACATAGCTCTGCGGGGCCTTAGCTGGTAAAATAAAAAAAAGTTTAGTTTTTGACGTCTCTTCCTAATCACTTAGAGATTTTATAGAGATAAATGCATTTGTTATCTGTATTCCACGCTGCTAATACACTGTCCATACTCAAGTCCATGGTGTTCACTTTTCCCCATCGCTTACGACGGAATGCCTCGTCTCTATGAACGACTTTCATTGTTCATTCTCATTGTTCAATCGTTTAGCGAACGATGCGTAGTCGTTATGGGACCGCATGGCGGGGAGTTTGTAACGGAGGCGAGTGACAGGGCAAACGGGGGGGAGGGGGAGGCTGGATATTGATACGGGCAGGCCGAACTCGGGGCACGGTTTCGTCTCCGGGCCAACGAAAGTTTTCGTTTCGTTTTGCCAGGTCCAATTATCCGGCAATTGCTGGATGCTGCCTGGCACCGCCGCTCGCCACTTTATTAGTTGACGTCCGATGCGCCGGCAATGGCAGTCTCTCAAGAGCGACGGCAGCGTCGTAAACGAAACGGGAATCCGATTACAAAATCTCAAAAAGTTAACCCGTAAAAACAAAGTTTTTCACTATGAATCCTTTATATGCGTGGCATCGGTTTTATTTTATTATTCATTTCTGTTTTTCTTGAGTAAGAGTTTCATTTTTATCACATTGGTATTTTAAATGAAATATTTAAAAAAAATTCCTAAAAAGTGGAAAATTTTGGAATTTTTTTTTCACGAAAATTAATTGTCACGCACAACGAGTCTGTGTGCAAAATGTCAGCTCGATTGGACCACGGGAAGTGGGTTAAAAAACGACCGAAACATTTGCACGGTCGTAAGCGCGCAAGCAAGCAAGCAAGTGAACTTAATATAAAGGATTTAAAAAGTGCGTCGACCGAGCAGCCGTGACGCTCCGTGACGCTCAATTCACGAAGAGGGCTCATCTGCAGAACACGCAACTTTGAGTTTAGTCGACTTGAGTTAACCAGACGAAAACGGTAGGACGGTTGCGAGTTCAAATCCTGGTTGGGGGTTGATCCATCCAATCCTCCCACCCCCCCATCCGTGGTCGATAAAATAACATCGCTTTGTGAAGAAGTCTACAGTGGTTGCTTCTATGGATTGACTCGCGCCCCCTGTCATAGGAATGTGGAATTCCCACCACTGGCTCAGTGTTGTAAACAGATGGGCAGCGCCTCAACGCTCATTTTTGCAGGACATCACTTTGACCTTTTTTTCTACAACCCAAAAATTACCGCAGGATGAGTCTCACTTGCAACAATGATCTGGGTCACCAAAGATACAACCACCCCCCCCCCAAATATAGCAAGGAAACTATGAAAAACAAAAACTCGGAGGAGAACGACCACATTGCAGGAGACATGACAACGGCAGCACAAATATAAACATATATCTTAAATATAAAAAAAAATGCTGCAACTCAAGTTGGCTTCGTCAAATAACTTTTCAAACATTCATAGACTTCTCCTTCGTACGGCTGACGATGATGTCGAACACCAGCTATAAATGCACAGCCACAGTAAATCGAAGTTATCGAGAACACACGATACGGAACGAAGGCAGTCATCGCACACATCGCTGGCTGCTTTTAAACTCGCACTCGTGTTATTACATCCCGGATCGATTTCAAGCTCACACTCACGGTCTGTAAGATCCGCCATGGACTCACTCCTGCCTGCCTACCTCTCCCCTCTCATCTCACTCTATTCCCCTCCACGCACTCTCCTAACTCTCCCCTCTCATCTTACTCTACTCCCCTCCACGCACTCCCCTACCCCTCCTCTCTCATCTCACTCTACTCCGCTCCACGTACTCTTCTGACTCTCCACTCTCATCTTACTCTACTCCCCTCCACGCACTCTCCTACCTCTCCCCTCTCATCTCACTCTACTCCCTTCCACGCACTCCCTTGCCTCTCCCCTCTCATCTCACTCTACTCCCCTCCACGCACTCTCCTGCCTCTCCCCTCTCATCTCACTCTACTCCCCTCCACGCGCTCTCCTACCTCTCCCCTCTCGTCTCACTCTACTCCCCTCCACGCACTCTCCTACCCCTCCCCTCTCGTCTCACTCTACTCCCCTCCACGCGCGCTCCTACCTCTCCCCTTTCATCTCACTCTACTCCCCTCCACGTGCTCTCCTACATCTCCCCTCTCGTCTCACTCTAAACTCCCCTCCACGCACTCTCCTACTCTCCCATTTCATCTCACTCACTCCCCTCCACGCACTCTGCTCCTGTCCTCTCCCCTCACTCATTTTCACTCGACTCCCTTCCACGCACTCATCCTACCCATCCCCTCTCATCTCACTCTACTTCCCTCCACGCACATCTCCTACCTCTCGCCTCTCATCTCACTCCCACGCCCCTCCACCCGCACTTTCTGACCTCTCGCCCTCATCTCCCTCTTTCCCTTCCTCGCCACTCTCTTACCTCTCCACCTCTCATCTCGCCCTCTACTCCCCTCCACGCACTCATCCCTCCTCTCCCCTCTCATCTCCTCTAACTCCCCTCCATACCGCACTCTCCTAGCCTCTCCCCTCTCATCTCACTCTACTCTCCCCTCCACAGCACTCTCCTGCCTCTCCCCTTTCATCTCACTCTACTCCCCTCCACGCACTCTCCTACCTCTCCCCTCTCATCTCACTCGACTCCCCTCCACGCACTCTCCTACCTCTCCCCTCTCATCTCACTCTACTCCCCTCCACGCACTTTCCTACCCCTCTCATACCTCTCCCCTCTCGTCTCACTCTACTCCCCTCCACGAGCTCTCCTACCCCTCCCCTCTCATCTCACTCTACTCCCCTCCACGCACTCTCCTACCTCTCATCTCACTCTACTCCCCTCCACGTACTCTCCTACCTCTCCCCTCTCATCTCACTTTACTCCCCTCCACGCACTCTTCTGCCTCTCCCCTCTCTCTACCCCCTTCCACACGCTCTCCGCCCCATGCAACCGGTGCTTTCTTGCGCAGCCTCCGCTCAACCTTTGCCCAGTGGAAGGTCGCTCACTCTCTCCGGCTTCGTCTGGAAGTCCCCGTCGCCCAGCCATCCGTGCTGTCGACTCCCTGCCCAAGTGCCGCCTCGACAACTTCCGTTGTCCCCTCCGCCTCTGACCCGACCAGCGCAAATCTCTCCGCACGTCTTAGGAT